GGCGTTCCCTGGAATTTTGGCACTGTAGGCAGATCAGAGACCAGGGCTTCCTCTTTCAAAGAGCCACCCTCCTTTGAGCATTATCCCTTAGCAGGACACCTCAGAGACTGGCCTCCACGAGAGCTGTCAGATTTAGAAAAGCAAAGAACCCAGGTTGTCCAGTTCAATTTGAATCTCAGGTAAAATAGTGAATTAAAACTGATTTAATGTAAGCATATCTGGTGTCGTATTTGGGACACGAGCTAAAAACTCTTTTGCTGAAATTGGTCATCCTGTGCTTTATTCAGCAGCACTCCCCACGTCCTTCCTTCCAAATTCTTCTCCACGGTCTAGCTAGAGCTCACCTTTTCCTTCCAGACCTTTCTGCCCTGTGACCTGGTCTCCTGGACACAGGCCTCTGCTGTTTTCAGTGCATTTTTCTGTCCTTAGCACAGGCTAAGCAATAAGAAGAAAGCAAGAAAACAGAATCCCACTCACAGATGGCTCCTCAGTGGGACCTGTCTAGGGCCGTGTGCGTATGTGGGTGTGTGCACCTTTGCAGAAATGTAGAAAAGAGCGCCCCCACCCTGAACCCCAATCTAGGCCCGCCGCCCTTCAGGCGAGCTTCATGAGTCCACAGAGGAAGTTTTCCCACAGCCTGGCTGGTCTCTGCTACCTGGGAGGGACTCTGTGCAGTCTGAGGTTGAGCTGCAGCTGGCACTGGGCTTAGACCCTTGTCCAGGTTGCTTCCTGGCTCTGGGCCTGAAGTAGTCAGGTGTCACAGACCCTGCGGTTTACCCAGCAAAAAAGAATTCCTCCCAGCTTCAGAAGCCACAGGTGGTTGGGTTGGTTTCTGCTGAGGGGTGGCTCCCCAGCTTGGTGCAGGCGCCATATATGGCCTTTCCTCCGCGTGTCTGTATCCTAATCTCTTCTTCTGAGGACTCTAGTCAGGTTGGATTCGGGCCCACCCTAATGACCTCATTTTAACTTAATCACCTCTTTACAGGCCCCATCTCCAAATAAGGCCACATTCCCAAGAACCTGAGATCAAGACTTGAGCATAGGAATTTGGAGGGAACCAGATCAGCCCCAAATGCCTTGGCCTGGCTGAGGCCTTCCCTCTGCCACGAGATGGCTCTGGGACCCCATTCCTCTAACCTGTCCAGGAGGGCCCAGCCGCCCTTTGGGGCCCTGGCCGGATATTCAGACCTCATGTCCTCCACTCCGAAGGTCCCCGCAGATGCGCAATGAGGAGCTCGCGGCCTTTGGTCCCTTCTTCCTCCCCTGCCGGTAGCTCTTTCCCTTCAGGTAAATTCCTGAAGGAGAGTTGCTGGGTCAGAGGGACAGAGGTCAGTCCCGCTGATCCCATCCCAAATCTTTGATGACTCCTGTCCCATTCCCACCTGAGTTCCTGTGCCAAAGCTCTGCAGAGGTGTGAGGCTGGTTCCCAGGCGACTTCTTCCTCTCCACCTGGACACCTTCCTGCTCTGCAGCCTTGCGGAGGCTGCTTTTGCCTTCTGGACAGATACATTTTCTCAGCCCGCCGGAGCTGCACTTGTCCCCCACCAAAGACACCAGGACACCTTCCCTTGCATGTCTTCCGGGGGGGGGGGAGGGACGCAGCAGACTGTGGACTCTGTGGACTCTGAGTAGGATCAGCATGCTAGGCCCATTCTGGCTGGGCCTTGGGTAAACACTAGTGAGGAGGATGACAAACCCCACAGGGCCCGCCCTGTCTCCACCATACACCCCAGCAGACTTGAGGACAGAGTCCTGGGGGGTGGGGTGGGGGGAACAGGCCAGGGAGGGCTGCAGGCACAGACCTGCTCATACCAGACAGGTTGTCAACAGAGGGGGCCACAGCAGGGAAGGGCTGGAGGCAAAGCATGAGGGTGGGTTATAAACCCAGTGTGCACCACCCGAGAATATGACAGGTATGATTGTGCGAATATGAGACAGGGCCTAGAGGTCGACCCCCAGCAGTTCAGGGGGATTGCAAACACTTCTATCCAAGGTTTCAGGACAATGACCTGCACACACACACACACACACACACACACACACACACACACACACGGCTCTACATCACTGAAACTCGGGTTGCAGGGACTACAGTTCTCTAGGTGTAATTTTCTGTGGTATTTGTAGTACATTTATTCTAGTTCAGTTCTCCAAAATGCTTGACCTGATGGGGTAAACCATTTTCATGACCCTCGGCATGAGGGAAATCTTGCTATTAAGGGTTTTTTACTTTCTGCTTTCTATGTTTCTGTATTTAAATTTTCATATGGCTTTAGGTACCTCCCTTCTGCTTTTCCCTGAAAAAAGAAGTGATGAGATGCATAGGAATACCCGTCAGACTTTCTGGAAGGCAATTTAGCAACATAGGGCAAAGCAGGCCTGTTCAAAGATGTTCTGGCCTAGTTCACTTGAGGGAAGTACCACTGGGGGTGGGGGGGGGAGGAGCAGAGCTGCTCCAGGCTTCCTGAGCCCCCAATTTGCTAATGAATATCCTGATGTGCCCCCCCTTCCTGGGGACCTTGTGCTGTGGCCCCACCCACTCTTGCTTATTGACTTGGAAATGGTGGGGGGGTACCTGCCGGCAAAAGTAGCCGGACACAAAAGGGTGACCAGCTCATGTTTTTAAGATGCGCACCTATTCACTCACAGGCTGGGGAAAGGGCAAGAGGTTTGAGAGCGCAGGCGCGGGAAGTCACCTAGGCCTGACTGCGTTTTCACCTCTGGACTTGCGGGGTCTGCGTCTGGCATGCGTTTTTATAATAAGGGAGGGGTTGTAAAGACCACAGGGAAAGGCAAACAAAAGAAGGAAACCAAACTGGGAAAAGGGGGAAGGAAAGCAGGAAAGGGGAGATGGGAAGGGAAGGGGGGCGGGAGGGAGGCAGGGGAAGAAGGGAGAAAGAAAAGGTGTGTGTGTGTGGTGGGGAGCCCCGAGTCCCGGACAAGCGGCCGCGGGCGCCGCCGAGAGCACGCGTCCGGTCAGGGCCGGGCACGTCGGAGGCGCCGGGG